AAGCAGACAATCAAAAGGTGGAAAGAAAATTACAAGTATAAGTTGTTGTGTTCAACCTTCATGTCAGCATTTTTCCCCTAGGAGCCACATTTCTTCTTGTTTCCCAACAAACAGTGAACTTCAAAAGGAAGTCTGTACCTATGATTTATAATTACCGTATAAACTATCCGAGTCTTCAAGTAGTTCTTCTGTTACAATCCATTGTTTTAATTATTTTAATCAATTTCTTAGGGCTGTAGTTCTTGCCACGCTCTGTCCACTCTTTTACCTCCCTCAATTCATTTAAGAGGTGACCATTAACTTTTCCAGTAGCCCTTTTAAGTGACACATCAAATGTGACCAAAAATATGTCTAGCACTCAAGACCTGGGAGAAAATCAATTTTGTTATGAACACAGAAGGACACCAAGCATGCTGCTACATGCTGGGTTCATTCATAATCCAGGACTGTACGTCTCCAAAACTGTGCCGTACCATCTACTTAGCTGACAACAAGTTTCTCCTGCTACATTCAAAGTGGATACCTTATGATACTAAGAGTTGGGAATGGTGAGTTTCTTTCGAGATCCCAATTGTTTCATTAAATGAAAAAGAAATATCGCAACGAGGATAATCTATGTCCCGTGGATATGGGAAAATCTCGGTTATAATAGCCCAGTGGACTTCTACCTCAAACTTTGATTTACAAGATAAAAGCAACTTTTAAATTAAAGTGCCTTTCTGTGAATAGAGCTTATTATTCCAAAGACGGGAATGATTTTCCTGGAAAGTTGTCTCTCTGTGCCTGCCCATTATCTTTGATTTCTCCCCCTTCCACTAATGAGCATTTATCTAAAAGAGCCTCTTAATCCTCTCATGTGTGCTTCTGGTCAGAGGTAACAGTTTGAATAAAACCACTAATCACTTATTGCTGATCATTAATCACACTTTTCTCTGGGGCTTTGCAACCTGCACAAGGATAAAAAAGCCCAAAGAAGGAGTTCAGTTTCTCACTCTCCTCCCCACCACCCTTTTCCCCTCTCCTGTTTTAAGTTCTTGGTGAAAATTTAATCTGAAGCATAGAAGTGGCAGATGCCAAAGACAGCTTTGAAAACTTCAGCAAACTCCATCCGGCACTCCTCAGTTGTGTCTGGGACTAAAAAAGTTGCACTGAGATTATGTAGCTAACACATATTTTATATATGTATATGCGCGCACACACACCACACTCTGCATTGGAATAGCCAGTCAGCCTAGTTGCCAGACTTTTTCCTTGTGGAAAAAAAAAAGCTTTCTTCAGACCTATCTGCAGAAATAATCCCGTTTGATACTGCTTTAACTGCCATGGCTCAGTGCTATGCAATCCTGGGAATTGTATTTTATTGCTGTTCCCAGAATTCCACAGCATTAAGACATGGCAATTAAAGAGGTGTCAAACTCAATTATTTCTATAGTGCAGATGCAGCCTAAGAGTCGTCTAATGATACGATAAATGTCAAGCTACTTATTCTAATCCTCCTCCTCTCCCTTGTAGATATTATTTGCACTTCCTACTTACTCCCAAGTCAAAACTGTCAATGATCCAGTGGCAAAAAAAGAATCAAAGCATCCTTGATTTTCCGCCAGAAAAATCAAAATGAGATTTTCATGGAAGATATAACCGCCATGTCAAATTGTTATCACCAACTAGTCTTGGAACAGTAGGCAAAGGGATTTTGTAGCACTTTGGAGACTACGGTGGCTGCCACAACCAATTACAATTCCCAGAATTCCATAGCATGGAGCCATGGGAGTTTGAGTGGTGTCAAACCGGATTATTCCTGCAGTGTGGATGGATTCTGATTACTGAAAGAGGGTGGCAGGAGCTTTCCTAGAGCCAAATTCCTCTGATACAAACTTCTTTCTTCCAGTTTAAGTGTCCAAGGTGCTAGAAAATCCCTTTGCATACTGATTTTT